AAGCAGAGGAAAGAGCTGATATTTCTGAATCTCAAGTGAACAAACTACGTGCCAAAAGTCGTGATGTGGGGCCAAAGGTACAGTGGACACAATTAATTAATCATTCATTAAAATGTTAAAAAAGCTCATAAAGTTGCTTGATTTCAGTTGGCATGGGACATACCCCACTCTTTTAATAGCCAATATGTATGACAGGCACCTTGATTTGCTACTTTCTAGTCAGTGGTAGATATTTATTACAGGGAGGGACAATCTCATTCTAGAGATCCTCTGACTGGGCACAAATCTTTGAGTACAGGTTATGTCATCAATGTATTTGGCTTATTAAAGGAGAATGAAATAGTTTATAATACATTTCCTTAGTAACTAATGGAGCCTTCCTTTTTCCTTGTCAACATTTTCTCTCACAGAAAGGGTTTGATGAAGAATGAAGTCTCCTGGAAATCTTCTGAAATCACCTTCCCTTGCTTGCCTTTCTCTCTGTCCACTATTGTTTTCCCTCACTTTCATGAAATAAAGTCACTCTGCATCTAGTCTGTCGTCTTGTGTGTATATGGAGATTATTGTGCTGCTTTAAGTTACCATATACTGTTATAATCAAAACCAAGCACTCTTCTGAGAATTTAATTTCATGTATTTCATATCTACATATATTTACTGTTTTATTAATTTGACCACACATTATACCAAAAAAAAAAAAAAAAACATTTGTATCCCCTTGTATTTGTATATTCTATTTATCTAAATGTACACAGTGATCCCTCAGTGTATATAAGAGTTTCTCAGGCTCTTTTTTAGCTGTGCCTCAAACATATAGAACTTTGGGCTCTAATAATGAAACATCCCCTGTGGAAAGTGAAAATAATAAATCACAACCCCTGGTTTTCAATGTGTTTTTTAAACTGCCTCATTGAGAGATACGAGTGTATGGAGTTCTATAATTTAATAACTAATAATAATCTATGCATTTAGCAGATGCTTTTATCCAAAGCAACTTACAGCTCATTCAGGCTATACATTTTTTACCAGTATGTCTGTTCCCTGGGAATTGAACCCATGACCTTTCGTGCTGCTAACACAATGCTCTACCACTGAGCCACATTACAGCAGGGATTGGGGGTTTTAAGTATCGCAGAGAGCAGTGCTATATGTATAAAATGGAAAGAGTTATAACAAAGCCTTTGGTTCTCAAAATAGATTGGACAGGAATGGGACAACAATGAACAACTCTGCGCACTTATGCATATAACCACAGACAGCTGCACTGATACTTCAATGTGCCAGACCATCTTTATACTTAGACGCATTTCATGTACAGATATTACAAAAATGTGCAGACAAATCCTGTAGAATCTACCAAGGGCTATTCTGCTACAAAACAGAAACACAAAAGCTAAGTTATTTTTTTCCAGTTATTTTTAAAACAATCTTTTATTTTGATGTCTAGATGTAACCATGCTGTCTAGATGTAACTCTCCTCAGGCCAGATCTCTCAAAGGCCTCAATTTCGTCCTCTGTCTCACTGAGTAGGTGAGAAGTGCATCACCAAGAGGGGTGAAAGAGTAATAAACTAATAAGGAATATTTCTAGACTCTAGAGTCTCATTAGCGTTTGCTTTGGAAATATTAAAGTTGCATGTATTTGTAATTCTGGTAACACTTTATAATAACTTTCATTAATAAATCATCACCAAACATTATATAATGCTTAATGGATCATTAGTTAATATATATTCAAAGAGTTAGAAAGTGAGATAATGTATAGTTAATGTTTGCTAATACACTTATTAAACATTAGATAATGTTTAACAAATCATTATTTCATGTAAGTTCAAATGCTTACAAATGTCATTAAACTTTCAAAACATGATCAAGCACTTATTGAATCTCAACATATGATTTTAACAGATGCTATAAAATGATTAAAAGCTTGTGTTAATACACAACACCTTTGCTGCTAGTGATAGAGGTAGGGTTAGGGACAGGTTTGATGGTATTGGTAGATTTAAGGGGTCGATTTGATTATTATATGGGAACACGGTTCAATCTGTTTATATTATATTGCTTTGATAAATTAACACGTATTTTCTTTTAAAAAATGATTTGTTTTCCCCTGTTTATTTATGATTCAAGGAATATCTTGTTTAATGATATGGTGAGGAGTAGTATACTAATGTGAGAGTTGAGGCAATAAAAAAATTTTTTTGCATCAAAATTACAATCTGTTATGTCTTTAGCAAGCATTTAGCTAAACTTAACCAGCCACCCTTTACACAAACCTTGTTACATTAGCTAAAAGTCCAATGCCCATAAAGATACTAAATGATTAGTAATCGCTTATAAACATTTACAAATGACGAATATTTTCGACTTTAAATTGGCTACTGCAAAAATATGAACAAATGATTAATAAATGATTAGTAAAGATGTGTGAATAGGGTAAATTCAGGTCTTGTGGGACACATTTTGCCATCGAGATGACTGCTCAATGATTAGTAAACATTTATAAACATTTGCAAATGGTGAATAGTTTCGACTTTAGATTAGGTACTGAAAAACATGAACAAATAATTAATAGATTATTTGTTAAGATGTGTAAATAGAGGTCTACACAACAAACAAAGACCAACAAATGAAAATCATACAGGTATGAACTGAAAGTTTACTGACATTTGTAAGCATTTCAATTTACATTAAATAATCATGTTAATCATTAGTCAATGTTTAGTAAGTTCATTAGTAAACATTAACAAGAACATTATCTAATTTTTCTAGCTATGTGAATATATATTAACTAATGATCTGTTAAGCATTCTATAATGTTTGTTAATGATTTATAAATGAAAGTTATTATAAAGTGTTACCAATTCTGGCAACAGTACAGTTTGGGGATATGTGTGTAATCCCACATAAAGTATAATTAAGCAGCCAGCTGTGATTACACATTCATGGGTAACAGTGATTTCATTTTATGACCAGTAAGAACAAAATTAATTTTAAAGCACATACCTGTGTGTCAGAATAACGTTCCTAATGTTAAGTGCTGCTCTAGAGGTCATCGTTATCTTTACTGAGTCTTCAGCAATGGCTTGGCATTTCTCACTTCCTTTTGCACTTTGATGCCAGTCATCGCTTAAAAGATGTGGCTGGGTGTCAGAATAGAACAGTCTTATCACTTGTCATAGGCACTTAACTCCTTGTTTAACTGTTGACCCTTACTGCATGGTAATTGTCAAGGGTCCTCACCTTCAGTTATGTCAGCCAGTTGTATGTATCGAATCCTATTCAGTCTTATTCAAATACTCTATAAATGGACAAACATTTATAGGAAAAATAAACTATATTCCATTTTGATGACAATAACTTGACAATATTAGTATTATTATTATTATTATGCACTTTTGTATTTACCTTTAAATGCCATTTCAGTGTTTCTGTCTGCATTAATTTCTATGAACAGAATGTCCACACACGAGGCCTATGGATCACTGCCCCTTTCATCACTCACAGTTGCAACAAATTCCAAGGACATTGGAATGGAAATACCAACATGTATACCCTCAAACAAAGAATCAATATGAGTACAGGACTCTATAACATTACAAGAATTTTAGCATACCATAAAATATTGATGGGTCTCTGTGTATACCTGTCACTTGGTTTTATTTATGAAGAAAGACACCTACAATGGCCAGGTGGCGGGCTATAGTTGATCCCAGGCAGAGACATAAAATAAGGTCCAGAAGCTCACAGTATGATGTGGTTTCACCCCTCAATCAGTGAGATCCACTCTGCAGGAATTTCACAGGGTTATCTTTGTCCTCAAAGAAACAATGGGTTGTCAACAACATGGGTTGTTGGGGGAGACACTTGCTGGCTGGTGGATGATAATGAAGTATGGCACAGCCATGGCCACAGTCTACATTGTTCTCTACCCAGGGGACACCAGTTTTCTCTTTACTTTTTTATTGTACTACCATTATCTTTTTTTATTGAATCTGAAGTATGACACCTGTGACAGACCACTGTGTGTGCTGTTCGACACTTGTCGCCTGGATAATCTTGCAGACAAAGATGCTTAATATAGATGCAGACTCAGAAGGTATCTGATATTGTTGTTTGCATCTTTGTAAAGACTGACAAAAAACACAATGTCGCATATTAACCCCCCCTTAATCTCTCTGGGTAATTGAGAGCCCACATGGCATGCAGTTCAAACATATCACTTTACTGAAATCTGATACCTTCTCCTGAGTATTCTAAACAATGTTAGATGACAAATATAGAATTCCATCTAAAGTTTGTTAAGACATCCAGCATTTGAATCCCTTTGTTGCCTGTTAAACCCTCATGTGGCACTAAAGTAATGCAGTGATGGCTTACCACAAGAACACACAAATGGAATTTTCTATAAATATCTTGCTCCTTTGTCCCAAGTTTTAGAGTAATCTTCACCTCAGATGCCTATTCTTCAATAGACAACTTCGTCTGGCTTTAATCATTCACATTTCATTTGAGTGCAAACCACTTAACTTTTTTAGCTGACCTAAATTAGTGCTCTGCTATCAGCGAGAACCTAATATGGAACACTAACAAATCTAACAAAGACTTTACTCACCTAGCAGGTTCGTGTTTCTCCCTAATACCCCTAACTACCCTCATTGTGCCCTAACAGTGCTCAGACGCAATAGCATTCCTGCCTTGTGGGATGCCTTCTCCAAATTTGGGAGGGTGACTTCCTTTATAAAGAGATCTCATGGTTGGTCTCCAGACAAGTCAGAGGTTTTATCTGAGGGTAAGATCTGAACCAAAACTGCATGGTGATGTTACATTTAATAGAAAATGATGCAAATTTCTTCTAAAATTTCATTCATGATAATTCTGTTTTATTTCTTATCGTGTTGCTTTCTTCTGATTTACATCTTTTAAGTATTGGGTTGTTTAGTGATGTAACAAAGATTAAAACTTACCGATCCACATATCTGAACCTTACATTAACAGGTTCTTCTTCAGCTGCCACACCTGGTGCACATCAGGTAAGAGTCATGCTTATTTTCTATGTTTAAGAACCTTTTCTTTATTTATATCTCAAAACAGCTTTTTATATGATCATATACTAGAAGGCTGTGAGGCAATGTTCTACTATCATAAATACCTCGGCTTGATCATAGCATGTCTGATATTGCAAAATTGTACAAACAATTAACATACCTTATCATCTCCAGACAAGGCAATCATGGCGGATGCTCAGATGGCAGAGTTTGGAGCAGCGGCTCCTTACCTGCGGAAGTCGGATCGAGAGCGTTTGGAAGCACAAACTCGTCCATTTGATATGAAAAAGGAGTGTTTTGTGCCTGATCCAGATGAAGAGTATGTGAAAGCTTCAATCATCAGTCATGAAGGTGACAAAGTCACTGTGCTGACTGAGAAAAGAAAGGTAGGCTCAACTAATTGAATACGCATTACTTCTGAAGGAGCATTTTGAGAAAAAGCTATTATAAAGGGCAGACACTTTCAGTGACAGATAATTCAATGGTAGGCCTACATTTCCAGTGGCACAAGTGGTCACTGAAACATTATGAGCAACAATTTGTAATAACTTAGCAATAGTTAAGTCTAAATTAAGACAATACAAGCAATACAATACAATCTGCACACAATAGCAAATTTGATGCCACTTTACATGATAGTATTATTCTAATGGTATTATTCAAATAATTTTTTCTGCTTCTAACAGACTGTCGCTGTAAAGGAAGCTGACATTCATCCCCAGAACCCACCAAAGTTTGATAAAATTGAAGACATGGCAATGTTCACCTTCCTTCATGAGCCAGCTGTGCTGTTCAACCTCAAAGAGCGCTATGCAGCATGGATGATCTATGTAAGAGCAGACCAGCGCAGAGTCACTTGAGAATACATCCTAATTAGCTTAAATTACTGAACTTTATTTCTCTTTCCCACAGACATACTCAGGGCTGTTCTGTGTCACTGTCAACCCTTACAAGTGGCTTCCTGTGTACAATCAGGAGGTGGTTGTAGCCTATAGAGGAAAAAAGAGGAGTGAAGCTCCTCCCCACATCTTTTCCATCTCTGATAACGCCTACCAGTACATGCTAACAGGTATGGACAAAGCCAAGGGAGGGGAAAGAGGCAAGGGAGGTGTAGACCTTGTGAAGGACAGCTTTTTTTCTGCACAAATCTCTGGATGAGCATTATACTCTTAAAGATCAATAATATATAATCCATAACTCAAGAATTAGTAACATTGCAGTCTTCTCCATTTCAGACAGGGAAAACCAGTCAATTCTGATCACGTAAGAACAATTACTTATCTTTTAATATAATTTCTTAGTTAATTAAATACTTCATGCCATTTTAAAGATTTAAACCATTTATTTTTCTATGTTCTATGTCACTGTAGTGGAGAATCTGGTGCAGGAAAGACTGTAAACACGAAGAGAGTCATTCAATATTTTGCAAGTATTGCAGCTGGTGGCTCAGCAAAGAAAGATGGGTCAGAAAAAAAGGTAAGTGTCATTTTCACGTGTCATCTCTTTCTACATTAATTAAGTCTGATTGAAAAGATACTGAAACATTTACTGTTTCATTACAGGGAACCCTGGAGGATCAAATCATCCAGGCTAATCCTGCTTTGGAAGCTTTTGGTAATGCAAAGACCATCAGAAATGACAACTCCTCGAGATTTGTAAGCTTCAGCATTGAACATTTATGTAAACTTTTAGTGAACATGTAAATTGTAATACAAATTACATTTCAGCTAATGTATAGCATGCATCACATATATAGTGTGAGAACACCCTCTGCTGGATAAACCAAAATGATATAAAGAGAACATAGGGTTGACAGATGGCAGACTGATCAGATCCTGAGCCATCATAAATGTGATAGTATATCTTCAGTATTTATATAATTATGGTATAAAACATTCAAATAAGAAAAAAAAAATCCTTACATTTAATGTCAGACATTATTGCAATTAAAGGTTTTTGAATCAAGTACTGAGTGTTTCTCAACACATTTTAGGCATTAGGTATTTATAAGCCATACTGATTCATTTTCAGTAGCTTACACAATTATTAATGCATTCATTGTGTTTAATTTAATAATGTTATAATTTTTCAATTCTTTAGGGAAAATTTATCCGAATTCATTTTGGTGCCAGTGGCAAGCTAGCCTCAGCTGACATTGAGACATGTAAGAATTCATTCCATTTTTTTTTTAAATATGAAGACGCTTGTATTATAAAAACACTAAAGGTCAAAGACTAACATTTAATTTTTTAATTTAAATATCAGATCTTCTGGAGAAGTCAAGGGTGTCGTTTCAGCTTAAAGCTGAAAGGGACTATCACATTTTCTACCAAATCCTCTCTCAGCGGAAACCTGAGCTGCTGGGTGAGATGCAGTAGACATCCCATAATCAAAGGCATTTTACAGTTTTACCACTACAATCTAACGGCACTTTCTCTCTCTTGAAATAGAGATGCTGCTCATCACCAATAACCCCTATGATTACGCTTTCATCTCTCAAGGAGAAACAACTGTAGCCTCAATTAACGATAGTGAAGAACTAATTTCAACTGATGTAAGAGTAAATCGATTTACATCCTTTTTTTCTGTCATTGTAAAGCTCTCATATGAAACCTTTAATTCTGTCAATTTTAGGCAGCGTTTGATGTACTAGGCTTTACTCAGGAGGAGAAAAATGGCATCTATAAACTGATTGGAGCCATAATGCACTATGGCAATATGAAGTTCAAACAAAAGCAAAGGGAGGAGCAAGCAGAAGCTGATGGGACTGAAGGTATGTAGAGTATTATTAGAAAGTAGCAAACTAAATGCAAACTTATCTTATTAATATTGCATTAATTTTACAGATGCAGACAAAGTTGCGTATCTGATGGGCCTCAACTCTGCTGACCTCATCAAAGGTTTATGCCATCCAAGAGTGAAAGTAGGAAATGAGTGGGTCACCAAAGGGCAAAATGTCCAGCAGGTGAGTTGGAGTGTCAGCAAAGAAATTATGCCTATTTATCCATGTAATGTCAAACCATACAAATGCTTCTCTGTGCTCAGGTGTACTACGCTATTGGTGCACTGTCCAAGGCAGTGTATGAAAAAATGTTCCTTTGGATGGTTGTAAGAATCAATCAGTCTCTGGACACCAAACAACCTCGCCAATACTTCATTGGAGTGCTGGACATTGCTGGTTTTGAGATCTTTGATGTAAGTCTTTGTGGATAAATCCTCATGTTGTCAAGTTTAAAATGCATTTTATTGTCTAACTTACATATACTTTCAATTCCTTTCAATTAATTTAAAAACTACAGTTCAACACCTTTGAGCAACTCTGCATTAACTTTACCAATGAGAAACTGCAACAGTTTTTCAACCACCACATGTTTGTGCTGGAACAAGAGGAGTACAAGAAAGAAGGGATTGAATGGGAGTTCATTGACTTTGGCATGGACTTACAGGCCTGCATCGATCTCATTGAGAAAGTAAGTAGTGCTAATGATAAAGCTGTCATACATGAATGGTGCTTTAACTGCTTAACAAGGCTATTTGCTACGTCAGTAACTCAATCCTATCAACTTATTTATTCAGCCTATGGGCATCATGTCCATCCTTGAAGAGGAGTGCATGTTTCCCAAAGCCAGTGATGCAACCTTTAAAGCAAAGCTTTATGACAACCACCTTGGGAAATCAAACAACTTTCAGAAACCAAGAGCAATCAAAGGGAAGCCAGAGTCTCATTTTTCTCTGATTCACTATGCTGGTACTGTTGACTATAATATCAACAACTGGCTAGTGAAGAACAAAGACCCACTGAATGAGACTGTTGTTGGACTCTTTCAAAAGTCTACAGTCAAGCTCCTGTCAATGCTCTTTGCTAATTATGCTGGGACAGAGACTGGTATGTATCTATGTATGAATCATGTGTGCACAATAAAATCTCATACACACTTATGAGTGTTTTAAGCACCACTGCATTCAAATACCTTGTTTTGACCAGCTCAAGAGAATAGTAAGGGGGGCAAAGGAGGTGGAAGTAAGAAGAAGGGCTCCTCCTTCCAAACTGTTTCTGCACTTCACAGGGTAATTGAATTACAGACTCAAATTATCATACACAATGAAAAAAAAAATAGATAATGTATACTAATGTTATGGAGCTTGTTTCCAGTGGATCTATTTCAGTATTTTTTAGGTAATTGAAAGTGTTCCTTAACATAAATGAATAGCTTAAATTCTGTGTACATTTTTCCCTACAGGAAAACTTGAATAAGTTAATGACAAACCTAAGATCAACTCACCCTCATTTTGTGCGCTGCATCATACCTAATGAGACAAAGATTCCTGGAGTGATGGAGAACCCTTTGGTCATGCACCAGCTACGCTGTAATGGTGTACTGGAGGGCATCAGGATTTGCAGGAAGGGCTTCCCTAATAGAATTCTCTATGGAGATTTCAAACAGAGGTTATTATTATTCTGTGACATTTGAACTCTAAATTCATAGCAACTCTTTCCATTATTAGAAACGTTCTATACTTATTTACAGGTACCGAATCCTAAATCCTGCAGCCATACCTGAAGGTCAATTCATAGATAGCAGGAAAGGAGCTGAGAAACTCTTGAGTTCACTGGATATTGATCACAATCAATATAAATTTGGACACACAAAGGTGAAAAAGTACATGAATCTGAAGAGTGATTTTATATATATTATTTAATATGAGAGCAAAGATGACAGTGGTCATGTAGTACTGTGAGTAAAATGCATGTTTCTATAATTAATTCTGCTTAGGTGTTCTTCAAGGCTGGTTTACTGGGTCAGTTGGAAGAAATGAGAGATGACAGACTATCTCTAATTATTACTGGTATTCAAGCTAGATCCAGAGGACTCCTTGCAAGGGTTGAGTTCCAGAAGATAGTTGAAAGAAGGCAAGAATTCCACATATTATGCACTGCATTAACAATTTGCTCACTGTAAGTTTAACTTTGTAATATTTTCTGACATAAAAATGGAATATCCTCACAGGGATGCCCTACTGGTTATCCAGTGGAATGTCCGTGCCTTCATGGGGGTGAAGAATTGGCCCTGGATGAAGCTATTCTTTAAGATCAAACCTCTACTAAAGTCAGCAGAAGCAGAAAAAGAGATGGCAAATATGAAAGAGGAATTTGCCAAGCTCAAAGAGGCTTATGCTAAATCTGAAGCACGAAGGAAAGAACTAGAAGAAAAAATGGTATCTCTTCTCCAAGAGAAGAATGACCTACAACTTCAAGTCCAAGCAGTCAGTTAATATTTTGTGCCTTTAAAACGTAGAAGTAAATGTGTTTTTGCAGTATAGAAATTACTGAATAGTTTTAACATAATTTTAAAACAGGAGCAAGACAATCTCTGTGACGCAGAAGAGCGATGTGACCAGCTCATCAAAAACAAAATCCAGCTTGAGGCAAAAGCCAAAGAGCTCACAGAGCGACTTGAGGATGAGGAGGAGATGAACGCAGAGCTGACAGCTAAGAAGCGGAAGCTGGAGGATGAGTGCTCTGAGCTGAAGAAAGATATTGATGATCTGGAGCTGACTCTGGCTAAAGTGGAGAAAGAGAAGCATGCTACTGAGAACAAGGTCTGGGATGTCTTTCTACACAACACACACACACACACACACACACACACACACACACACACACACACAGTAATATTGTACAAACACTCAGAACTTAATGTTCTTGTGCAGGTGAAGAACCTGACAGAGGAAATGGCAGCTTTGGACGATATCATCGCAAAGCTAACCAAGGAGAAGAAAGCCTTGCAGGAAGCTCATCAGCAGACACTGGATGACCTGCAAAGTGAGGAGGACAAAGTCAACACCCTCACCAAGGCAAAAGCAAAGCTAGAGCAGCAAGTGGATGATGTGAGTTTTACAATTTACATATACATTTAATATTCTTGTTATAATGAATTATACAAGCAAGTTATAATGAATGTTATGAGCAAATGACCATGCAACCAACTGTTGAATTATTTATACCAGTTGGAAGGATCTCTTGAGCAAGAAAAAAAGATCCGTATGGATCTAGAAAGAGCCAAGAGGAAACTAGAAGGAGACTTGAAGTTAACCCAGGAAAGCTTAATGGACCTAGAGAATGACAAACAGCAGTTAGAGGAGCGACTTAAAAAGTAAGTCAAATTCTTCCATTCTTTCACAGTTCAGTCTATATACTGTATATGTTTAAAATTAAGGACTGCGAGCATCTCTTTTTCAATCATAGGAAAGACTTTGAGATCAGTCAGCTCAATGGGAAAATCGAGGATGAACAAACTATTTGTATTCAGCTACAGAAAAAACTGAAGGAACTTCAGGTAACGCGCGCGCACACGCACACACACACACACACGCACGCACACACACACACACAAAGAGCATATCGAGATGGGAAAAATTGAATGAGACATGAGAGATAACCCTGGCTTATTTATGATAATAGGCACGCATTGAGGAGCTGGAGGAAAAGCTTGAGGCAGAAAGAGCTGCAAGAGCCAAGGTGGAGAAACAAAGAGCAGATTTAGCCAGAGAGCTGGAGGAGATCAGTGAAAGACTGGAGGAGGCTGGAGGAGCTACATCTGCTCAGATTGAGATGAATAAGAAACGTGAAAATGAGTTTCAGAAACTTCGCAGAGACCTTGAAGAGGCCACTCTGCAGCATGAGGCCACTGCTGCCACACTGAGGAAGAAACAAGCCGACAGTGTGGCAGATTTGGGAGAGCAGATAGACAATCTGCAGAGAGTCAAACAAAAACTGGAAAAGGAAAAAAGTGAACTCAGACTCGAGCTGGATGATGTGGTCTCAAACATGGAACATGTTGTTAAGACGAAGGTATTGTTAATACAAGTATTCATCAATAAGAATTTAAATTTGCTTCTTGCTGGAAAGTAATTTTCTTGTTTGTTCAGGCAAATCTTGAGAAGACCTGCAGGTCTTTGGAAGATCAAATGAATGAATACAGAACAAAATATGAGGAAGGCCAGCGTTGTATCAATGACTTTACAATGCAAAAATCTAAACTACTATCTGAAAATGGTAAGGCTGTCAAATAACTTTTTTCAATCATTTTGAGCGACAGAACTCCAACAATAATAAAATGCATGATGACATACCCAGGTGAACTTGCAAGACAGCTGGAGGAGAAGGAATCTCTTGTCTCCCAGCTAACTAGAAGCAAGCTGTCTTATACTCAGCAAACTGAAGATCTTAAAAGGCAACTGGAGGAAGAAACTAAGGTGTGAACTGAGTATGAACATTGTCTGATTAATATATAAAAAATGAATTGCATTAATTTTGTTGATCTGCTAAATAACAATGTGTTTTCCTTCAGGCGAAGAATGCCCTAGCTCATGCTGTACAGTCAGCCCGTCATGACACAGATCTGCTCAGAGAGCAGTATGAGGAGGAGCAGGAGGCCAAAGCAGAGTTACAGAGAGGCATGTCCAAAGCTAATTCTGAGGTGGCTCAGTGGAGAACAAAGTATGAAACTGATGCCATACAGAGGACTGAGGAGCTGGAGGAAGCCAAGTAAGATATGTTTCTATTTAGAATTTCATATATATTTGAACTTTTCTTTAAGGTTTAACTTTTCTACTGACAGATAAGCTTTTTGTTTGTGTTATGTTTCTTTTAAAATGTAAGACGAACAAAAAGTTTTTCTGTTAGTTGGCCAAGCTTCCCCAAACATAAGGTAAAAATATAATAAAATGTCTATCCCTTTCTATTAGGGTGTGCAAGCAAAACGATCTGCCTTAATATTGTTCTGTTTCCTAAAACAGGAAGAAACTGGCTCAACGTTTGCAGGAGGCCGAAGAAGCTGTTGAAGCAGTAAATGCGAAATGTTCATCTCTTGAAAAGACCAAGCACAGACTCCAAAATGAGATTGAAGATCTTATGGCGGACCTGGAGAGGTCTAATGCAGCTGCAGCAGCCTTGGACAAGAAGCAAAGAAACTTTGATAAGGTAACCAAACATGGTCCTTGATTTGGGATTATTCTCAAAAATGATTTCTGATTACCTGTGATCCTAAAATCTACTTGCATGAAAAAATGCTTTTAGGTCCTGGCTGAGTGGAAGCAGAAGTATGAAGAGTCACAGGCTGAGCTAGAGAGCTCTCAGAAGGAAGCCAGATGTCTGAGTACAGAACTTTTCAAGCTGAAGAATTCCTATGAAGAATCTTTGGATCACCTGGAGACCATGAAGAGAGAAAATAAAAATCTCCAAGGTAAACTGGCAAAGAATCTTAAAACAAATGATTATAATGAATAAATAAATGGAAATATTGAAAAGACTTGGAGTGTGGCGGTGGAAGAAGTGTAATTTATATCACCATAGAGACCTTATCACTAAGGCTGGAGAAAATATGACAATATGTTGAAATGCAATATTATTTTAATCTAGAGGAGATTTCTGATCTCACTGAGCAACTTGGTGAGGGAGGAAAGAGCATTCATGAACTGGAGAAAATGAGAAAACAGCTGGAGCAAGAAAAAAGTGAGATTCAGTCTGCTCTGGAAGAGGCAGAAGTAAGTGTTCCGATGCAGCTTTATTCATTGACTTTTAAATGAATGTTTATGTTTATGTTTATGTGACTTTACACATAAAAACAATATAAAAATGATTATCGATTTTCAAGCAATTGTGTAAAATACATTTTCAAGATGCTTATATTAAATACCATTTTAAATTGTCTTGCAAACCAAGTAACAGATCCCAATCTTCTTTAAAAGGCCTCATTGGAGCACGAAGAGGGTAAGATTCTGCGAGCTCAGCTAGAATTCAACCAAACAAAGGCTGATATTGAGCGCAAACTAGCTGAGAAGGACGAAGAGATGGAGCAGAGCAAACGCAATTTGCAGAGAACCATCGATACTCTGCAAAGTTCTTTGGAGTCAGAAACACGAAGCAGGAATGAGGCCCTCAGAATAAAAAAGAAGATGGAAGGGGATCTAAACGAGATGGAGATCCAGCTTAGTCAGGCAAACAGACAAGCAACAGAGGCTCAAAAACAACTCAAGAGTGTCCAAGCACATCTGAAAGTAAGACGCACTCTGAAGTAATACTGTGAATCAATGAAGCAAAGAATGAGAGCTTTTGGAGAGTTAGAAAGTTGTTGAAATGTTTGTCTTAATTAGTTTGCACTCATATTCTAGGATGCACAACTACAGCTAGATGACTCTCTGAGAACAAATGAAGATCTCAAGGAGAACACTGCGATTTTAGAGAGACGCAACAACCTTCTGCAGGCTGAACTAGAGGAGCTGAGAGCAGCTCTTGAGCAAACTGAGAGAGGCCGCAAGCTTGCAGAGCAAGAGCTGCTGGATACCAGTGAAAGAGTGCAGCTACTGCACTCCCAGGTTTGCGATTGGTTGGTTAGTCTTCATTCTGAACAGGTCCATTTATTCAGCTTCTAATTTAATGCAAACATCTAATTTGTCCAGAATACAAGCCTCTTGAATCAGAAGAAGAAGCTCGAGACTGACATATCCCAGCTTCAGAGTGAGGTGGAAGAGGCAGTGCAAGAATGCAGGAATGCTGAAGAAAAAGCCAAGAAGGCCATCACTGATGCTGCCATGATGGCTGAGGAGTTGAAGAAGGAGCAGGACACAAGTGCTCACCTGGAGCGTATGAAGAAGAACATGGAGCAGACCATTAAGGACCTGCAGCACCGCCTGGATGAAGCAGAACAAATTGCTATGAAGGGAGGCAAGAAACAAGTCCAGAAACTAGAAGCTCGGGTGAGTGGCCTACCATTAATCCCAACAATGTTTTCTAACTATTGCAAGTGGTACTCTGTAAACACGTTTATACTGTGCCAACAGGTGAGGGAGCTGGAGAATGAAGTAGAATCAGAGCAGAAAAAGAGCAGTGATGCAGTGAAAGGAATTCGCAAATATGAGAGACGCATTAAAGAACTGACCTACCAGGTAAAAAAACAACAACAACTAATTTCACTACTGAATACATCTATAGAAAATGTGATGAAAAAAACATTCTCATACAACAAGTTCTCAAGTCTCTTTGCTATCATTTGTCTTCAAAGACCGAGGAGGATCGCAAGAATCTGGCTCGTCTGCAAGATCTAGTTGATAAGCTTCAGCTAAAGGTCAAGGCTTACAAGAGGGCTGCAGAGGAAGCTGTAAGTATTAGCCTAAATATCACACTTATTTTGATAAATCATACAATTCAGTTCAGGCTCTAATCTCAGAACTGCTACTCCTGCTTCATAGGAGGAACAAGCCAACACACATATTAGCAAATTACGGAAAATCCAGCATGAACTTGATGAAGCAGAAGAAAGGGCTGACATTGCAGAGTCACAAGTCAACAAACTGCGTGCCAAAAGTCGTGATGTCGGTTCTAAGGCCAGTAATTAAGCAGACTGATTTATTTATTTTATTTTTTTTGCTTGTATGATTCAAACCAATCATATGAAGTTTTAATTTCCCGATTTTTAAAGTATATTTTTGCCACATTTATATACGATTGATTTTTAGAGAACATACAGGTGTATCTCAATAAATTAGAATGTTGTGGAAAAGTTCATTTATTTCAGTAATTCAACTCAAATTGTGAAACTCGTGTAATTAAAATATTTTACCCCAACTGATAATCTCTCTCTCCTCTTTTTCATACAGAAGGGACATGATGAAGAGTAAAGCTCAAATGGATCTTCCGCGTATCTCCTATTTGTTGTATTAGCTATCCATCTAGCTCTTTTTCAGCCACATAGTAGAATAAAGTTTAATTGCATTCAATCTGTGTTGTGATTGAGTTATTATGTGTTAAATTATATATTAACACTACTTTGTGGGAAAAATACCAACTAATCTTTCATTATATTAAGACAGTGGTTCCCAGTTCTCCTTATGGTGGGCGGCCCATTCATGAGTTCCTTCTTGCCTGTTTCTTGGGGAAATCTTATTGAAGCCTGAAGGTTTAGAAGATATTTAGTCAACATCCAACAGGTTTTGAATAAATTAGCGTCCCATTCATTGGTAACTATAAACATTCACTGCGCTATTTAGATTCCTAAATTTCGGTCAAATAAATGCTGTTTTTGCAGTGCTCAATACATACAATATGTAAATATATACATGACTGTAATGGCAGGAGAAAGCAATGTATGTGTTGTGGGGGAAAACAAATAAAACTTTACAGTTTTCTGAGAGCTATATATAATATAATCTATGTTTGTGTATGTAATGTAATGTAATTTGTAATGTATATTGTGCTTATGTATTTGAAATATTTGAATGGACTGATAAAGTATTTTTTGCTGAAGTACAATGTCGTTTTGACCATTATAATATACCAAATCTAACTTGTATAAATATTACAGTAGTATAGAAAAATACTATGCATACATTTATCTGTGAAGTCGAACTCTGTGATGCCAAACAACTTCCCTGTGCAAAGGATCATGGGGGCCTGAAGTGTCCAACAGTTGCACCCTTCAAACTCCTTCATTCAGAAGGGCCCTTTGAAGTGGCCAGTTTTGAGCACTTCGGTTTGGAACGATCGAAGCGATATATATCCCGTTTGGAACGCACCGTTTGTCTAAACATAGCGCCTAATGAATCTGAGGTGGTCAGGTGGTAGTGGTACAAGTTGTAGCTCTTAAAACTCCCATTTCTCAAGCAGTAATTACAAGTTCTACGAGGACGTGAATGCTTTTTACAAGCTGGAATCTCGCAATCATGGCAATTATATTAAGTTTAGTGCTTCAGAAATGTGATGTCATTTCCGGTAAGGGAGCATAGTGAGCATCGATGCCTACTAGTTTTTGCGGTGCATTGTGGGATTTTTCAGGGAGCGAACGTTCTAGTGCACTGGAAGGATTTTGCGATTGATACGGTCCTTAAAATAGCAGAATCCCTGAGTGCCCTGACAACTGAACTAGAGAGCTGATCAAGACGCCCCCTCTTAGTTTCCCAGGTGTAAATATGACCCGAGAGGCCTTTCATGTCCACTTTCCAAATAGGAAACTCACATTTGCGATAATTCCGATTGCACATGAAGGCGGCATTAGTATCATCAGTCTGACTGATTTTTTAAATGTGAGTGAGTGCGAATTTCCGCTTAAACTAAAGCAACACTGAGCTGTGGAGCTTTTAAAAATGTACTAAACGTATAAGGTGCACCAAAACACACTGAACACCAGTCGCACAGTGTCAATTATAGGTGTCAAATTTATACATTTAAGGGTCTAGTTATACAGTACCGCTACAAATTTTCCCATCTTTTTATTGTGCAGTACAGCATCATTCTCCTTAACTACTGTGCATAGAGTAATACAATTTATTGATAAAAGAATCCGTTTCAGCAACACAATGAATACTGAATGCCTCATTGCAGGTGACATGCAACGCTGTAAAAAAAATGCACATCAGTTTTGGTCGTTTCTTTTTTATTTATTCATGATTAAATATCCACATCTCTAGTTAACAATTAATCACAATGACCTCTTTCATACAAAAAAACATCTTAAATCGGGTGGAGAGATTAAATCCAATTTAGGACTCATGTCTGTAGTCCATTGTTGTCAGCATTCTCTTTTGGTGTGTTCTATGGGAAGTTGCTGCCTAATTCGAGTTCTCTATTTGCTTTTAAACATGCCGATTAGTCTACCAGTTACAGTTAGTCTCATACAGATGTGTGGCATGGACATCCAAACAACATTCAAGGTCTTTGTGTCAGTTGCAGTTTGTGGGCAGAATCATTGTTCCTGTAGTTACTGATTACCTCTAACCTTTCGACCCACTTTCTGCATCCTGACTGAGGCTACTCAAGTCATTACCAGAATGCTGCGCCTTTTTTATACAGAAGGACATCCTCAGAGTCCTTCGAGTTTTTCCATCCATAGGCAAAATCAATCACACTCCTCCTCCTATTGATTACATTGTATTTAGTATGTGACCTGTGATGACAAAGAGAAAAAGTTACATTAAATATATTCCTTGCTTCCTGAATACAATACATTTTAAAAACATTCTTGTTTGCCAGCCCTTTTTTTTTTCTTAAAAAAAAAAAAGGCAGACTCACTTAAAGAATAAAATACTGTCTGGAGAAATATTCATAGATGCAAAATCTTCACTTTGCTTCTCTATACAACCCAATCAAGAAGTGTTTTTTCCCCTGTGGGGTATAAAGTGTGAAACGTGTATTTACAAAACTGCATTGAGCGGACTGGTGTGGGGGACATGAGAAGTGTACTAACTGTGAGAGTGTTCATTCATTATGGATATGACAAAATAGAGCTGTCTGAAGGCATGAAAGGTTATGATCACTGTATCAAGAGTACAACACTGAAGTTTACTGGCACAGCCCCTGAACAGTACACACTAATCACAAAAGGAACTACAGACAGGACAGCTTGGCCAAGCGCAACTGCTCTACACTAAACACACTTGCTCACACTCATACAAACTGTATTTATAGACTGCTCTGTTAGGGTGTATTCACACCAGGAAAGTCCGCTAGTTCACTTGCTTTGGTCCGGACAAATACAATGTTTATTTTTTTTGTTTGGTGCGGTTCGCTTTCACACTGCCCTTTTTGCAAGTGGACCAGAAACTGTAAACAAAACCACATATGTGCTTAAGATCATCCATTCATTGGTTTATCCATTCAACCGTACCAGAGTTTGTTTTGGAAGCGGACCGAGACCACCTCTTCAGCTGGGTCTCGGTACGGTTGTTTGGTCCACACCCGAGTGCGATTGCTGTATTCACACCTGCCCAAAAGATCCGCCCCAAGGGGGGGAAACAAACTTGAGTTCGATTCAATCGAACCAAACAAGACAGGTGTGAATACACCCTTAGATACAGGTACATGTTTTGCATTTTTGAGTAACTGGGACTCTTCTTGAGGGGATCAAATTTAGGAAAATATGCTCAATCAATCTTATCGTTCTCTTTGTAGTATAAAACATCCATCATAAAGTGCATTTCAAATGCTCATCAGCTAATTATTTCATAGGATATTTGCATAATTTATGACTTCCTGGTCTCGGTTGTTCCGTTTTATGTGGGATTTTCTTTGATGTTACAAGATTACCACCATCAAGGATCTACTATGACGTCACAGTAAAATACCAGGAAAAAAATAGAATATTTCACAACATGTAGTGAATCAAACCCTGTGTACAAACATAATCTTTTAACCAACAACAGCAAATTGTTAATTTTTTTCTGCAGGCATTGTGCAGCTAAATATATCTAGAGTAATATTACTACCAATAAAAAAGTGCCCACAAATTCACTGTTAAACAGCGCCACTAGTCAAGAGTTTAAAAAATGCAGCCCAGGTTTGGAGAGTTTAAAACTATGATATTCAACTACTTGTAATAATACATCATTTGGTAATAAAACCAAATAGCATTTACTACTAGGTTTGATTAAATAGTAATTTCTAGACAACAGTTTATCAATTGCCACTGAATAAATAATAGGGATATATTACTGTTATATTTACTGTTAATATAATGGGCCCTTGCACATGACGGTTCATATGTTCAGTTGTTTACTTTTTGGATTTGGAGGTACAATATTTAATTGAAAGTAGGGATGATTTGGACCTTTGAGCAAATAATCATGACCTGTATACGGAGTGTAAACGCATTTCCATTTTAACATTCTGACATCTTTATTTATCCATCTATATTCCTTCCAATCCTGTCTGTTTAGTTTGCGTGTCACTTCCTTTTTCTCTTCCTGTATCATGCTGTAGTTTATGTGTTTCATGAGTTTTTGTGTCCTATTAGTTCACAAGATGCTTTGAGAGAAATGGAAAGTGGATTATGTAATCAGATGGTTAGACATCATAATGATACAGCTCATCGTTACAGGAATTTACGCAAACACGATACAACAAACTCACTGAAGATGTAAATATGCTATTGTTTGAACAACCTATACGTTTCAAATGATTAAGTGCTCATTTAAATACTGAGGGAGACCAGGGGATATAATTCATGTGAGGTGGACAGGGTCAGTGGAGCAAAGGAAGCAGATGGATGGAAGGCGGCTGATTCGTCCCTTTTGACTGGGATTTAAGATAGCCCCATATACTAACAATACAGGGAGCTGAACTGCCATAATATGATGTAATAAGCTACATCTCAAGTGAGTTCTGGGGTTCCCATTGGAGAACATCTACTGCCAAATAGATACAGACAGAAAAGTCTGTCTAATGGATAGCACAGGCTCATAGGAAGTCTAGAAGGAAACTCTGGTGTTGATGGGCAAAATGCAGTGGTTTTAACAAAGATGACAATAAGAGCTAAGTGGCTGGAGCATCTATTACTCCATCTCCAACCATCTGGGGCCAGTTGCATAAACAGCCTCTATGTTAAGACTGTCTTAAGTACAAGTTCGACTAACTAGCAGTTAGCAACGGGGTAATCAGTCTTATTTTTGGATTCAACTAAGACTAATCTATGATTTAATGTAACTAAAAAAAATGTGTTTGTTTGTTTTTTTAATAATAAAAAAAATATGGCCAGTCTTAAAGAAAAAAAAATTGGATGAATAACTTGTAGGACTAGTCTAAACCTTTTATGCAACCAGCCCCTGAAGACTTCATCTCAACCACAGCCTCAAACCAAACCCTGCATTCGAAAAAGAAGTAATGCATGCTGTAAATTAAGCCAGAGCCTGGGTCTTTCCCAAAACATGATCTCATGGGTGCTCTCCCAGCAAGGAAAAAACTAAGAAAACTGTAAACGAGAAAAGAAGCTTATGAGAAGGTTTTAAAAGGACAGGCTGTGTTAAAAATCAGAGCCCTTCTCCTGCTAGTGTACTGGTTTGCACCCATCTCATAGCTGAGTGAATGGGACAAGCTGGGTTGAGTGTGAGGACATGGCGGACCCCAGAGAAACACTGAGAGAGGTGCTGCAATTTGGGTGGGGGTGGCTGCCACTCAGGGGGGACCAGGAGATGATTTTAGCGCCATGGTCCATGCGAGCTCGTGTGTTCTTGCAGAAGTTCAGCTTGTAGAACTCAATCTAGTGGCAAATAAATGGAAAAGCTGTTAGGAAACAACATAAACAGCTGGGCACAACTTTGTACATTGTAATTCAGAATCTTCAAAATGCTTGACATTTAAAAAGAGAGTGAACCTAATCTGTTCCCAATATAAGCCAGGTTTGTTCAGTATTTAGTTCTTGAATTTGAACTGCATTAGCAAACAGGATGGAGAATTTAAAGCCTTGTTTCTGAGTTATGAAAAATAGCACAAAATCGTTTTTAATTTATAGCCATGATAGTCAGAGAGAATGACAGAATAGTAAATATATATGTTTGAAATTTTAATTTAGTTTATTTAGTTATTTTATCCTATTTAATAAATGAAACTTTGTGCACAAGGGCTTAAGAAGTCTTTATTTCATTTGCATTAACCAGTAAAATTCTTTGAATTGTAATTCTGTATTTATAATTCTTCTTTTTGCCATTCCAAGTCAAATTACAGTTCAGCTTCCTGTGGGCTGTGGCCTATTCCAATCAAATTCGGACTCAAGTTCTTGAATGCTGATTTACACAATATATCTCTTCAGGTTTCTCGATATCATGGGCCAGATTTACTAACAGCTTGCACCAGCGCAAACCCTCTTTTGTCAGGATTTAGTAAAGACGTGCAGTGAAAAATAAGCGATGAAAAAGCGTGGACACAGTCATTTTTGCGGCTGACCTTACTGCATATGGATTTGTAGGAGTTTCCCTGATTTATGAGAGGAGAGTATTTAAAGGTGACATATCATGAAAATCTGACTTTTCCAGGTTTTAAGTGCTATAATCAGGTCCCCGTTGCATCTACCAACCAAGGAAACGTGAAAAAGATGAACCTAGTAACTTTGTTTTTGGAAGCCTTTTTCTGCATGCGTCTGAGAAAACAAGTGCGTCTGATTTCTCTCCCTTGGTGACGTGGCAAAGGGATCTCATTAAAATATTACCACCCCTTAATCTGTAAGTTTCCACCCACGGCGCCATCATTTTGATTTCGCAAGCGACAACGGTGTATTAGTTCTAATGCCATGGCGAAAGTTTGAGCAAAACACGCTAACTGTTTTGTCTTTGGCTGAACTGACGAGCACAGAGCACTATTTATTGGCACTTTTCCTCTGCTTGGTACGACTCGGCACGGCTCAGTACGGCACAGCTCAGCTCGGTTTGCGTTTCCACTGCAGTTTAGTACCGCTTTAGAGGGGCCAGGATTATTCACATGTCCACGCCCTCCTAAAACACCTCGTTTAAACACGCCCCCACATGTCTATGTCACGATGTGGGAAGATTTGCATAACGCCGCCCAAATGTTCACGCAAAGAAAGAAGGCGTAACTTTATTGTTGCTGCCACCGCCGCCGCCATGTTGTGAAGATGCTGTGTGTTTTGTTGTGAAAGCGAAACTACTTTGTTTGGCCTTCCAAAAGAGGAGACGACTAGAAATCAGTGGTTAAGTTGTATTTACAACACTGTTTCGTTTATAATGGGTTTTAATGTTTTTGTCTCGTCGCTTTGGCCGGACAGGGCATGACAGTATGGTAAGGGGCGTAACGTTTCCGTCACACGCTTCAGGTATTCGGCCAATCACAACGCACTGGATCACTGGCCAATCAGAGCACACCTCGCTTTTCAGACCGATGAGCTTTGTAAAAATCTACGCGTTTCAGAAAGGCGGGGCATAGAGGAGAAACAATAATGTACAGTATGTGGAAAATAATGTGTTTTTTTAACCTTAAACCGCATTAAAAAAAATTTCATTACACCAAATACACAAAATAATGTTATTTTTAGCAACATCATATGACCCCTTTAAACTCATGATTTCAGCATATGATATCAAATATGATAATCGGAACCAAAACAGATGTTTTTAGCAGGTCCGAACTGTAATGGCGCAGCTCCATTCTGGAAAAGGGGGAGGGGAGCAGCAGCTCATTTGCATTTAAAGAAACAGGCCCGAAAAACAGCGTGTTTCTGCTTCCACTCAAAATAGGCATTTTCAAAATGTTATAATAAATGATCTGTGGAGTATTTTGAGCTGAAACTTCACAGACACATTCTGGGGACACCAGATACTTATATTACATATTGTAAAAAGGGGCATAATATGCCTCCTTTAAATGAATCATGCAACATTATTTGCTGAGGTTTGTGTAGTCAATTTATTGGTATTTGTGCCATTATCTAACACCCCAAAAAAGCATGTCTTAACCCATTTCTTCCTGTGTTGTTAGTAGATTACATGCACCTTATTATCATCGGCTCTGCTTGTTTGTGCTGCTCTTGGTGAATTGCGATGGTCATTATGGAAATGCGCTGGCTGCGTCTGTGTTCTTTATTTTGTTCACTGTCTGTAAATCACCAGCAGAAATTTCCACTCCCATCAGCTGTTTTATGGGATTGCCCTCTCACGCTAATTTGCCCTGTTTAGTAAATCTGGCCCAAGGTGTCATAAATAATGGCTGAATTCGCCTAGTTTGCACTTACTTGTCCCAGTGATGTGCTTGTCCAAGCCCTGGGAGTCCCGGGGTCCCTCTCCCAAAGAAGATATGGGAGCAGGAGAGTTCTCTTTCAGCCCATTCTCTTTTGCCCCATTACCTGCCTGCATGGGTGGAGAGACAGCAGGGGGAGACGGGTTTCCCTCAGATTTCTGCTGAACCCCCTCAGCCTGGAAACACATAGCAAAGCAATGAGTTAAAGAATATGGTTGCCGGAGACAAAGATGCATTTATGTGTGTGTGTGTGTGTGTGTGTGTGTGTGTTTGTGTGAGTGAGTGAGGGAAGTAAATGAAACCATTGTTCTCATCCTAAAAATTTGTGTTAACTAAATTGACATGAATACTTTTCATACTTTTTGTATTACACGAGTACACAAGACACACGTTCAAATGTTAGGGGTTTGTATAATTTTTTTTAAAGGGGTCCTATTATGCTCTTTTACAAAGTCTTGATTTTGTTTTGGGGGTGTACTAGAACATGTTCTCATGCTTGGTGGTTCGAAAAACGCATCATTTTTTTCACATAATTTACATTATTAAAATACCTTTCTCCCCAGGCTGGCACAAACGGC